CAGTGTCTCGTCAGCAGAGTTGGTGAATTCAATGCTGGTGAACCGCAAGATGTTTACAGGCAAGGACTGTTCTCTCTGTTAGATATGGGTCCGAGTTCGATGCTAATTGTGTAATACATAACAGAAAATAATTATTATCATTGTGGAAATTATAAGCGCAAAAATTTTGAATATTGATTTATACTGGAGGAATTATTTTGAGCTAGAAAGCTCTTTTTCACCGATGTCCAGTAGGAGCGGGTCAGAACGTAACAACAACAAACAATAGAAAAAAAGATGATAGCAGTGGAAAGTATAGGAAAGGTAATGAAATCACAAAAAAATACGTGTAAATCTAAACAATTAACTTACCAGGTCAAACCCACTGAACTTTCAGCTTATTTTTCAGACGCGACCTGCCCACAAATGATAGCTCAACGAAGTAGCAGCCAAATGCTGTCAATAACATAGAGCATACACTGCGTCATTATATCGGTCTAAAGACATCACCGCTAGGCCATGTCCACCACCCCTTATTTAAGCACTCCTCTCGACACCTTGAATGTTAACCTCATTTGCCAGTAAAAATATGATAATTGGTTCTTTACCCTTCTATCTGGCAACAAAACTGACACCTTTTTTACAAGGAGTCATGTTTGCATAGACCGCAATACCTGCAGTCATAATACAAACAAAAGAACATAACTCTGATAATGTTATGTGCACATTATCAGAGTTATGTTCTTTTGTTTGTATTATGACTGCAGGTATTGCGGTCTATGCAAACATGACTCCTTGTAAAAAAGGTGTCAGTTTTGTTGCCAGATAGAAGGGTAAAGAACCAATTATCACCTTGAATGTTCTCCGTTGATAATTAGCAATGCGAATTGGGGGCGCCCCGGTGGCTAGGAGATGTTAACTACCTTGCCTGGTATACAGGAGATCGTGGGTTCGAGCCCGACCCTGACGCCTGCTGTTGTATATTTGGAGTTTGCGTGTCTCTCTCATCATCATCACGGTGGCTAGGAGATGTTAACTACCTCGCCTGGTATACAGGAGGTCCTGGGCTCGATCCCGACACTGACGCCTGCTGCTGTATATTTGGAGTTTGCGTGTCTCTCTCATCATCATCATCACGGTGGCTAGGAGATGTTAACTACCTCGCCTGGTGTACAGGAGGTCGTGGGCTCGATCCCGACACTGACGCCTGCTGCTGTATATTAGGAGTTTGCACGTTCTCCCCGTGGCCGCGTGGATTTTTCTGCGGGTTCTTAGTTTTTTTCCTCCACATTTAGAAACACGCGTTTAGAGCATTTGGGCTGCTGTAAATGTCCACGCGATGATAAGCGCACTTCGTTGAGCTATCAGTTGTGGCCAGGGTCGATTCTGAAAAAGAGCAGTATTGCTCAGTGGGCCTTACTTAGTAAAATTAAAAAAGAAATGTTTAGTTGAGTTTCTAATTCAGTTCGGTTGGCTTGAGCCTCCCAATTGATTCCTCAAAAAACACGTGGAGGACCAAGACGGCTATGTAGGCTTAAACATACATCTCCGTAGGAGCGATGGATTAACGGCACAATCAGCTGCGATCAGCGAGGCCTGACGAACGCAGCCTCTCTTGCCCGTTGAGATTGGATAATCTTGAAATAAAGCCGCCTCATCCCATCACTTCTGCTGCTCCTGCAAGTATCATTCGCGTGTACGCGTGTTGAATTTCGTTCACACCGTAAGTAGCCAACCGCGCTAATCGGAGCTGCGGAGGAAGAACAATAAACTGAATGCAAAAAGCAGTCCTATAGACATCGGTTTTCCATCTAGGTGATTTAAAAGTGCATAACTCCAGTGGCTACCTAATATCGGAAGGAAGAGCGTTCCAGGTGGCCGCAGAAGCGCATCCGAAAGCGTGCGATGCTGTGACCGTCTTTGTTTGACGGCTAGACAAAGTTGCTGCTGCTGCTGTTGCGAGGATGACCGTATTTGGCGTGATGTTTCGTGCTTCTTGAGAAGATCGGCGAGGTATTGCGGTTCAAAATGTCTCCTCCTGCAGTAGCTGGGAGGTCGTCCTTGGGGCTGGAATAAGTATAACCCGTAAAAACTAAGTTTTTCACTATAAATCCTTTATATGCGTGGCGGCTAGAGTCCTCTCGTCCTCTGGCTTGAGATGGCTGCCACCTATGGGTCAGATGATTGTCTGCCACCATTAAGCAATTGGTAATTAAATATTTAATTTGTTTTCCCTAAACAGTGTAAAATTTTGGGAAAAAATTCACGAACAGTAATTGTCTCGCACAACGAGTCTGTGTGCAAAATGTCAGCTCGATTGGATCACGGGAAGTGGGTTAAAAAACGACCGAAAGATTTGCACGGTCGTAAGCAAGCAAGCACGCAAGCAAGCGAACTTAATATAAAGGATTTAAAAAGGAGCAGCCGTGCGAAATTGCCCCGGGAATTTTTTGTGCATCTTGGCACCCTCAATATGTTCTCAATGGACGAGAAGAATACGAGCGAAAGTTAAATGAAAAGCAATTGTGCTCAATCGATTTGGAAACGCCGTATTGTTCGGGGTAAGATCACTCGAATAGACTTTATTCGACATACGACGGTGATGTTATAGCCGTACCGCTTCATTCATGCAGGGGTTGGCCTCGATGAATCTCAAGATTGTTCTGGCTAGGGGCGTTCTGCTTGTGATGTTTGGCGAGTTCCTTTTTTGAGTAAATATGCTACTCAAGTATCGTTTTATCGTGTTGTTTTTTTTTTATTGAACAAGACGATTCAGATACACAACACACGGGATATGAAAGGGAGTTGACACCAGCACAAACACATTACGGATTACAGTGCAAGGACAACCTGTCTTAAAGTCATGTTTCAATAAACTGTTTAAATAAACTCTGCAACCCGCTGGTGTCTTCCGAAGCTCTAATATCCCAGTAGAAGAAGGGGGGGTGGGTATCGTGTTGCTATTTAATGCAACCTAACCTGTCAATTAAAATAATAAATTTCACCACCCAGCTAATGTTGACGATCGAAACCTCCAAAAATTATCATTCGTATGTCGTTCAAGAAAGTCTTGAGTGCAAAAAGATGTACGGAAATTTTTATTTTGGTGAAAAAGTGTTTTTTTTGTTTGTTGTTGTGAGGACACAAGATTAAAGAGCACTTACTGTGTCATTTTCATTTTACGTACAATTAATTGTAGCCAACAAACAAAACGTGGATTTAGTCACGCAATCTGAATTTTAATAACGGGGGCGTAAATAATTCAACACTCGTGATTAAATCCCCAGCGCCCATCTTGAAACCTGACCGATATTTCCTCTTGGCTTTCTCAAAGAGTTGGCTGCCAAAAGCAATTCAAGTGCCTGTAGAGTTTTAAATAATATTTGACATCGCACCATCTTACGACGGATGCACACTTCCCATTGGAGGCGTATGTTCAGTTTATAAAAACTTATATGTCTGTTTATTTACCTTGGGGAAGGGGGGATGCGAAATAAAGACCCAAAGCATTTTTCCCGTGCACGTGTATTCATATATGTGTACACACACATATATACTCTTATTAATGTGCGTGCATGTGTAATGCATGTAAGTCCAGCTGAGATTATTAGTACTCGTGTGTGTATGTTGAACTTCTTTCGCACTGTACGTAGCCAACCGCGCTAATCGTAGGTGTGGATGGAAGGACAACAAGCTTAACACAAAAAGCAGTTGTGAAAAAACGAGTTTTCAATCTTGATGATTTAAAAGTGCATAGCTCCAGTGGCTTCCTAACATGGAAAGGAAGAGCGTTCCAGACGGCCTCAGAAGCGCGTTTAGAAGCGCGCCATGCAGCGACCGCCTTGGTTCGATGACCAGCCATCATGGGGACAAGTTGGGGCTCTCATTATCACACTGATCATGATTATTAGACGAATGATTTGGTCATATTGCTCAGTAGTTGGCAGTGGTGCACAAACGCAAAAAAACACAAACTTCGACACATTTGTTCAATAGCACTGTGGCCTTAAAAGTAAAACAGTAAATATACAATAGCGATGGTTCAGGCAATTGCCCTTCTTCATAGGAAACGTCACTGATTGTAAAAAAAAACGTATTCTATGAAGAAGGGCCATTGCCTGAAACGTCGTCTATTACATATATTTTTTTCCCTTTGAAGGCCACAATGTTATTGACGAAAGTGTTGAAACATCTTGCCTGTCGGGTTTTACTAGCTGGTTGTCATGTATGCTTAAATGTGTATACGTTGTTGTCAATAGCTGCGCTGGTCCACCGCTATATCCACGTTGGTGTGTGTTCAATCGGCTATTGTTTTAAATCTGCACACGTGTTCTCAAGTACGTTTGGCGGATGTTATCACCAAGTATGAGTAACAGCCCTGAGTCGGTGATGGAAGCTCCAGCTTACTGTGGGAATCGTACCCATGAACCTCCGGCATACCGGGCGAGGGAGTTAACACCTCGCCACATCGCAGAGGTCGCAATTGGGTACCCGATACCCGTACCCTTCCCCGATACCCGGCTACCCGTATCCGGCCGGGTACGGGTACCCGGTTGCGACCCTGGTACGGCCGGGTACGGGTACGGGTAGGCCGTGAGTCACTGGCGAGTAACGTTTGTCACTCATTTCCCAACGTCTTGTCTCTTCTCACAATTCAAGTTCCTAGAATCAACCCACCCGCGCCTGCAACATGGCTTCATCCCAGAGGTCGCAATCGGGTACCCGTACTCTACCCGATACCCGGCCGGGTACGGGTAGCCGGATATCGGGTAGGGTACGGGTACCCGTTTGCGACCCTGGTGCGGCCGGGTACGGGTATGGGTAAGGAATCAAAACCCGTTTGCGACCTCTGCCACATCGGCACCCCCATGGGGCGACTGCCTCGATTTCGAACCTGCGGTGCCACCGCCTCTCGCACGACAACAACGAACGCTCTGACGCCCCCCCGGAGCCGCGTGGCCACACTCCCCTGCTGCGCCTCTCATTTAGCAGCTCGCGTTTTCTTCTGCGTCTTCCCACAGCGTCGAGGCGGCCCAGAGGGATCTGAAGAAGCTGCCGGCGATTCCAACGCAGGCTCTGAAGGAGCATCCCTCCCTCTGCTACTGGTGAGCGGTCGGGGAGCGCTCGCTCACGAAGCGTGAGTCTGCCGGTTTAACGCGTGGGCATTTTGGCCACCAATGTTATTCGCGATGAAAGGTGTTTGGGTTAGATCGCGTCTACCGTTGACTGCGTTCGAATGCATATGGGGAGCGGTGGTTTAGCGGTTAGCGCGCCGCGCTACGTGACCGATGTTTGAGCTGCCCGCGGTGGCAAACTGACACGTCGCGTGTGCTCCATGGCCCCCCGTCCCCTCCACCCTCGTGTCTCTACCAGCGAGGAGCGGGTGATTGAGAATTACCAGCGCCTTGTGGGCCTCACCCATGGACAAGCCATCGTCAAGTGAGTTTTACGCGCGTCAACCTGACCTACTTTTTATCCGTTGGCCTTCCCCGCAGTTTGATTGGATTTTAACTGCGAGTGCAATTATTATCGCTGCCATTGCACTCGCAGGAGATGAACGGTGGTGATAGAGTGAACGTGTCCACAACCAATGGCAAGCCACACACATTTTGCTGGTGACTCTGATCCAGTGGTGGAAACTGCACATTCTCAGAGAGGGGGAAAGTCTCTCTGTAGCATGAACACTGTTGGCATCTGTATGCACTGTATGTGTGTTGAACGTCTTTCGCACCGTACGTAGCCAACCATGACAATCGGAGGTGCGGCAGGAGGACAACAAACTAAACGCAAAAAGCTGTTGCTCTAAGGAAATGAGATTTACATTTAGATTTAAAAGTGCATAGCTCAAGTGATTTCCTTTTTACATGTTACATTTTAGTTATTTTTAGTTACATGTCAGCTTTGTGTGGCTTCGCAAGCTGCAATCATCTGGATCCCCAAACAACGTCCGAGACATTTCGTCGCGCGACGTGTGCAACATGCGGTGTGATTCTTGCGATGTCGCTTTGTTGTTTTGTTTAGTGTCGCACACGTTGGTATTGTAATGCCACAGAGAGAAGCGCGCGGGGCATTCTTTGATCAGTGCGTTGATACTCAACGTTCCTCTTGTGTCCTTGTGATCGCTCACTCAGAACCACTTTACGAAAGACCAAAATGCTCTTTTGCACACAGCAAATGCGCAGTGACTCCGAGATTGGGGTAAACCCAGAAGCACTTGCACGGTGTCACGTGATGCACACTCAGGTGGCGGCTTTTTTGGGGTCGTGGAAATTCCCACGATAACAGGTAACATTTGGGTTGCTTTTAATTCCAGGGCGACGATTTCCGCATTCTTGTCGACTTTCAGAATAAGCATAGTGCCGCGTTTCTGAAGAAGCAAAAATGTACTCGCACAAAACAAGAACCCACGGTTTTTTTCTGGAAAGGACCGGATGAACTGGACAGTGTTCGTTGCAGTCACCGCAAGTGGCTCGTGCACTGTGCTAGGAAACCCAGGAACGTGAAGATATATGATTCCCGAGTGCTTGTGCCCACGGCTGCCTTCAGATTAAGGGCAGTGTGTGCACATGGAATCTTAAATTAAGCTGTTATCGGCCACACCTGGTTTGGCTTACCAACTCATTCGGCGAGAGCATGTGTGTGTGTGTGTGATGTTGCCCTTCTGTATTGCAAGCAAACACAGACTGCTGCACAAAAACGTTGGGCTTATCCGCCGGCACCTGACACTTGGCTCAGGGTTTCACATCTTAGAGATTGTGAGTGGCGGCAGGGCGTGCGACGTTGACGTGTTTGTTGGTCCTCGTCGCAAGCGTCGAGGGATAGAAGAAACTTCACTCAAGCATTCTGTCTGTGTTACTGACCACTGCAAAGAGCGTTTGAATTGCACATGGTGGTCCAGACGTCTTGTCACCATCCAATTGATTGACCCCTGTAATAGAGGTTTTGGGTTAGGTCGCATAAATGTGTCCTTAAACCCGCCGCCACCCGACAAAGCCAATAAGTAAGGTTTGTCACGATTTGAAGCTTTCGTGACTGCAGGGATTCATATTCTTGGTTCTTTCGGTAAAGTCACGTAGAAGGGAAATAATAAAAATAAAACATAATAAAATTCTCACGACGTTTCGGCCACAACGCAAGCAGCCATCCTCAGGTGAAGAACAGAGCTGCCGGAAAGACAGCGTCCTAATGAACACTGCTAAGCTTGGCAACGTTTTTAACCTGAGGACGGCTGCTTGCGTTGTGGCTGAAACGTCGTGAGAATAGTATTATGTTTTATTTTTGTTATTTTATTATTTCCCTTCTACGTGACTTTACCGAAAGAACCAAGAATAAGGTTTGTCACGTAAACAGAACGTGCCAATTCTTTACCGGTACAGCACAACAGTGTGTTGGAGAGTAAACCCACAACATTTACAATACGAGTACGACGTTTCGCCAGTAATTACAACGAGCATCATCAGGCGACAGCCAGAGTTGTGGAGAAATCCTCCTGTTTCGCTCTTAAAAAGAGGGTTAAATGAACCTCATGGCGGTACCCCGGGGTACCATAGTACCCCGGCTCTCGCACAATGTCCATGATGCAGTCATTTTTAAATCCTTTATATTAAGTTCGCTTGCTTGCTTACGACCGTGCAAATCTTTCGGTCGTTTTTTATCCCACTTCCCGTGATCCAATCGAGCTGACATTTTCCACACAGACTCGTTGTGCATGACAATTTATTTTCGTGAAAATTTGTTTCCAAAATTTTACACTTTTTAGGAAAAAATAAATTACATTTAATTACCAATTGCTTAATGGTGGCACGCAATCATCTGACCCATAGGTGGCAGCCATCTCAAGCCAGAGGACGAGAGGACTCTAGCCGCCACGCATTTAAAGGATTTATAGTGAAAAACTTTGTTTTTACGGGTTAATTTTTTAGTCAATCGACTCATCTAGTCAATCGACTCACCTCAACGAGCTGTACACGATGCACTAATCAAAGTTGAATTTTTCGATAACGGATTTTTTTATGCTGATGTTTGGCGTTTCGACATCGGAGTAGCACTGATTGCGGATTGATTGGTACCCCAGTCGCGGAGTTAAGTACACCCCTTAGTGATAATAGTGTCCCAGAAATAAAATATTTTATTTCCTCGGATATTTTGTATTATTTGGTACCCCTGGGTACCGCCATGAGGATCAAATGTGATGTCGTCACTTGCGTTGGGTGGTGGCGGGTTTAACGGAACATTTATAGTTACGCGATCGAACCCAAAAACTTCTTATGGAAAATATTGGTCGCAAAAGCCTACGTGTTAAATTGATTGACCCCTATTTTTTTACCCCCCCCCCCCGTGCATATTAATTTGAGGGGGGGGGTGTTATAAGACATCTGGACCAGCCTGTATATGAATATTTAAACAAGTATAAGATTGATTTAACACGTCGGCTTCCGCTACCAATATTATCCATAATAAAGGTGTTTCGGGTTAGATTGTGTAAATATAAATGTGTCGTTGAACGCGTGACCAAATGTTGTGGGTTTACTCCCTGGCGCACCGGTGTGCTGAATTAGCAACGAATTGACACCTTACGACTTGCCTATGGCGGGTGGTGGCCGGTTTAACGAGAAGAAGACATTACTCATACATTTATTTTATTTTTTATTTCTACCTATGTGACTTTACCGAAAGAACCAAAGTAACAATATTATTTGTTTTGTCATAAGAGACCATCTTTGGGTGTTAGGCCTGTTAAATGTTCGAGCTCTATTCCTCAAAAATGATCTCTGTTCAGGTAATCGAAATTCTTCGCGCATAAAGTTAGTATGCCAGGATTATTTCCACGAGGTTTTGTCAATGTAAATAACTTCAAAAACTAAAAATACACAGGATGCCAATTAAGGAGGAAAATAATTAGATAAAGAACAGAAAATCTAATTAGGGGAGTAACATTGATGACCTCATCACGAAGGGGACATGATGATGACAATCTGAGACAAAAGGTCACTGAGGTTTATTGCTTGCGGGCCAGATTACACAGAGCAGTGCAGAGCGCGGCTCAAAGACTTCTTCTGCAAAGGCGCAAAAAGTCATTCGCCATCCATTTTGGGGGGACTGATGAAAATGAATTGGCGCAAGCGAGCACGCTTTCGGCGGCCGTACAGTCTTCGCAGCTTGCGAAATTCACATTGAAATTCCTTTAAATTCACATTGAAACTCACACTGAAATTCACATTGAAATTCACACTGAAATTCACACTGAAATTCACATTGAAATTCACACTGAAATTCACACTGAAATTCACATTGAAATTCACATTGAAGCTCACACTGAAATTCACACTGGAACATTTAAATTCACATTGAAACTCACACTGAAATTCACATTGAAATTCACATTGAAACACATTTAAATTCACATTGAAACTCACACTGAAATTCACATTGAAATTCACACTGAAATTCACACTGAAATTCACATTGAAATTCACACTGAAATTCACACTGAAATTCACATTGAAATTCACATTGAAGCTCACACTGAAATTCACACTGAAACATTTAAATTCACATTGAAACTCACACTGAAATTCACATGGAAATTCACATTGAAACACATTTAAATTCACATTGAAACTCACACTGAAATTCACATTGAAATTCACACTGAAATTCACACTGAAATTCACACTGAAATTCACATTGAAATTCACATTGAAGCTCACACTGAAATTCACACTGAAACATTTAAATTCACATTGAAACTCACACTGAAATTCACATTGAAATTCACGTTGAAACACATTTAAATTCACATTGAAATTCACGTTGAAACACATTGAAATTCACATTGAAATTCACGTTGAAACACATTGAAATTCACATTGAAACTCACACTGAAATTCACATTGAAACTCATGTAAATTCACATTGAAACTCACACTGAAAATCACATTGAAATTCACATTGAAACACATTAAAATTCACATTGAAACTCATGTAAATTCACATTGAAACTCACACTGAAAATCACATTGAAATTCAAATTGAAACACATTAAAATTCACATTGAAATTCACACTGAAATTCACGTTGAAATTCACATCGAAACACATTTTAATTCACATTGAAACTCATGTAAATTCACATTGAAACTCACACTGAAATTCACATTGAAACACATTTAAATTCACATTGAAACTCACACTGAAAATCACATTGAAATTCACATTGAAACACGTTTTCGCATGCTTGCTTTGGTAATACGTGTCTGCTGGACATCCGTGAAGAAGAGCTTTTTGCTCATCAGATTCCTCCAGTGTGAATACAGATTTTGATTCTGAAATGAAGATTCTGATGCCAAAGAAATTTGCTGCAGTTCTAGCTATCGATACTGCTCCCGATCAAAGCGAGCAGTGAGTCCCATCTATTGATACCGCTCCCGATCAAAGCCAGCCGTGAAAAACTGGAGGACCCCGAGAAAAAATCCACGCAACCACGGGTAGAACATGCAAACTCCAAATATACAGGCGTCAGGGTGGGGATCGAACCCCCGACCTCCTGTATACCAGGCAAGGAAGATAACATCAGGAGCGGTATCGTTAAACCAAGGCCGTAATTATAATATATATTGGGGGGGGGGGCATCTCCCCCAATATTCAAATATGCAAAAAATGTCCCCCCCAATATATTGCTATTAAAAAAAATTGCAATGCTATGTAAATAAAATAAAAAATTTGCTAAACCTTGGCCACAATATTTGGACTCGTCTTCATATAAGTCAATGCATAGATTTATGTTGATATGATTGTGGTTATGGTTATTATTTTATTAATCCCTAATCTCTGCCATTACATACAATGAAACAAGAAAAGGTAAAAAAGTAAAAACAGAGCAATGTAATACAATACACTATTAGACATTATTGTAAAAAATATATTAAAAGTCCATCCCATGTGTTAGTGAATTTTTAAATATTTTAGGCAGGGAATTAGTTTTAAAATGTAGATATTTTTCTGGGTTGGGACCCCCAGACACCCTAGAAGATTTGGTCCCCCCCAATGTTGACTCCATGGCTACAGCCTTGCTTCAAACTGATTTGGACCAGCTGCCAGTCCTTGCACAAGCGATGCCTTCTTGGGCTTACGCTGGTTCGACTTCGTCATAAATGTCACCGTTGCATCTGCGACCGGTCTCCTCGCAGTCGAGAGCTTAGTTCGAGGGGTAGATGGCTCTGGTGTCTATTTATGGTTCACGTCGCCCTGTCTCGATGCGCAAAATTTCCCACTTCGTTTGGTGGTCGACGTTCGGAGTGGACCGTGACTCTCGAAGGAAGAGCGCCGCGTACCCGTGGTCGCACCCCCCCCCCTCGTGATTCGTGGATCGAACAATTCACTGGAGACACGCCAGTGCATGGCAGCAAAGAGCGGGCCGATGCGAACGCTATTCGCAAGAGTTCACGCGTTTGGCACAACGATTCTTCGCCGAGACCGTGCGCGATGAGTGAATGTGGGGAGCGCCGCCTCCGCCACCACCGGTGATGGTGGCGATCAGCAGAGTGGCCGCCCGGTCCTCCTGCGGTCCCTGTTGGAGACCGTGCGCGCGAAACAAACCCCCATCGAGCGAGCCGAACGGAATGTGCCAAACGTGCCCAGTGTTTCTTGGACAACCTCGCGCAACACCAGCCTGTCAACAGATTGGAATGGCCCGTTGTGCCGCATTGTCTCTACTGCCGTGCGCGTGCGTGCGCGTGTGTGTGTAGGGCTGTTCGTGAGGTACTTTGCTCACAGCACTTGCCCCAACAGTCTGTTAAGGCTACACGGGGGATCTTTGTCCGTGTCTTTGTCTGTCCGGCTGTAATTTCAGATCTTGCAAGCACAGCATGTTATACTTAAACAAAAAATGGAAGATTTTTTTTTAATCTTTGCTAATGATATTCTCTGATTTGTATGTGTTGGCTGCAGTTATATGAGCATTATCGAAGCTCTTCCAACCTACGGAATTCACTACTACAATGTAAAAGTGAGTCACTTTGTTATTTCAGTCGTTAAAATGTCATGTGTTTAATCTCATCGGCACACATCCGCAGTGGCGAAATATTATCTCCCTCGCCTGGTATGCAGAAGGTCGTGGTTTCAATCCCGAACCTGACACCTGTATATTCGAAGTTTGCATGTCTCTCCCATTGGTCGCATGGATTTTTCTCCGGGTCCTCTGGTTTTTCCCTCCAAATTTGAAATCGACATCACACGTTTAGAGTATTTGGATGCTATAAATGTCCACGTTAAGCTACCATTTGTGGCCAGGTCGCTTCTGAAGAAGAGCGATATAGTTTGGTGGGCCTTACCTGGTGTGGTGTGTAAACATTACCACTGGGGAGACAATGGGTGTGGTGTTGGCCACCCATGCACCTTGTCTAACGTGCTGGCTTTAATAGGTGCTCGCTAACAGCACTTGCCCCAATAGTCGTTTAAAGCTATACGGGGCGATCTTTGTATTTATCTTTGTGCATGAATCTGCTGTGTAGGACAAGCAGGGAATCCCATGGTGGCTTGGTCTGAGCTGGAAAGGCATCTTTCAATACGACTACCAAGACAGAGTTCAGCCAAGAAAGGTACTATCCACCCATTCATTCTTTGTTTCAAATCAGAAAGGGGTGTGTGTGTGTGTTACATTAGTGTAGGGGATAGCGCGCTGCGCTATGAACCCGGCGACACGGGTTAGATTCCCGCTCACGGCCAACACCAGTGACGATTATCTGAACCGGTCCCAGGCCTCCCCTAGGTCGACTCAGCCTCAAATGAGTACCTGGTGCTGTGTGTAAACATTGCCACTGGGGAGACAAAGGCGGTCGGGCGTGGTGCTGGCCACCCACCCCTCGTGTACCGTTGCGGCCTTCATAGGTGCTCGCTAACAGCACTTGCCCCTACAGTCTGTTAAGGCTATATGGGGGATCTTTATCTTTGTTACATTACATGTTGAGAATGTAACATTTGAAAAGTGACCAGTCTGAATGACCTGAGGGTGCAGCCCTGCATTCATTACTTATTTGACCCACTTTTGATGGGACGACGGGCTGAGCTGATATCCGCCCGGGGGGACGTGAACTTTGTGACCTTGCGATGGCGAGGGCGGTTGCTCTAACCCAGAGGTCGGCAACCTGCGGGCCACGGGGCCGCGTGCGGTGGCTCTTTTAAGGAGCGCTTCGTGAAATTTATTTATTGAGGACCACCATTTGGTATTCACGTTGCATTGCAGCTTTTGAAATGTTAAGGTTTTTTTTACCGAATACGAAAAAAGTGGCTCTTCTTATCGTGGTTGTCTACTCTCTGCTCTAACCACACAGCGCGAGCCGGCTGCTTTGGAAGGGGTTCATTTAATTGAGGGTTTATTTGATTCAGGCAAGGGGGGGAGAAGCACAATTGCCCATGCTGGGAATGTGTGAAGAAGAAGTCCCCACCATCTGAATTTCTGATGTGGAGCGACCCATGGTGGCTTGGAGATGTTAACTACCTCGCCTGGTATACAGGAGGTCGTGGGTTCGATCCCAACTCTGAGGCCTGCTGCTGTATATTTGGAGTTTGCGTGTCTCTCTCATCATCATCATCGTCACGGTGGCTAGATGATGTTAACTACCTCGCCTGGTATACAGGAGGTCGTGGGTTCGATCCCAACTCTGAGGCCTGCTGCTGTATATTTGGAGTTTGCGTGTCTCTCCCTCATCATCATCATCACGGTGGCTAGGAGATGTTAACTACCTCGCCTGGTATACAGGAGGTCATGGGTTCGATCCCGACGCTGACGCCTGCTGCTGCTGTATATTTGGAGTTTGTGTGTCTCTCATCATCATCACGGTGGCTTGGAGATGTTAACTACCTCGCCTGGTATACAGGAGGTCGTGGGTTAGATCTCGACCCTGATGCCTGCTGTACATTTGGGAGTTTCTGCGTGTCTCTCACTCCCCCCGTGGTCGCGTGGATTTTTCGACGGGTCCTCCAGTTTTTCCCTCCACATTTAGAATCAACAACATACCTTTCGAGTGTTTGGCTTCTATGTATTGCCACTTGATGATAAGCCCACTTCGTTGAGGTATCATTTGTGATAGCCAGTTCACTTCTGAAAAGGAGCTTCATAGCTCAGTGGGCCTCTCCTGGCAAAATAAAAAATAGTTCAACAGTTTTATCTTGCTAGACAAGTCTAGTGCCATTCACTCTCTTTTTTTTACGATCAGTGGAAATAAGAAGATGCTCGGTGTAGTCGGCACTTTGCTTCGTTCATCATTTCGTAATTTTATTTTTTATAAATAATAACTTTGCTTTATGTAAACCCCCACCTCTCGCTCACTCTCTCGCTCACTCTCTCGCTCACTCTCTCTCTCATTCACTCTCTTATTCCCGAACTAAATGTGTCCGTTGTTCATGCCGCTTCTCCAATGGTCACGTGCAAAGCGCCGACAGCGTGTTGTCCGACCTGTAATCTTTTCCACCACGAGTTGAGTTTTTTTCGCCATCGCAATTGCGATTTAGCAAGAGCCTCTGAACGAGCAATCACGGCGCATTCACCGGTAAGAATGGAGGTGGGTGGAGTAATGGCTGAGACGAGACTAAATATAGCCAACTTACCCCCCCCCCCCCTCGATTATACACAACTGTACCCCAAGACATAATCATCCTAACGAGGCCGCTGCACATTGTCTTGAAGTGGGTCGGTCAAGTGCTGTGTTTTCGTTTGGCTGCGGTAGCACCACGTGTGCCAGTGTTGGTGACAAATTGCCTCGCGTCAGAGATGAGTGCGTTCGCCGCAGGCGACGCCAATTAGGAACTGTTTCATGACCAGCCGCACGTTGATTAACCACGCGTGGCTACGTACGGTGCGAAAGAAGTTCAGCAACATGCGTACGTCAAGAGTTGTTCGACGGCGCACGTCTCCCACCGGCATTCCTGAGCTTGTGGTGGAAATTCCACGTTCTTGTGGCAGGGGGTCGATCTCTTAACAACGGTCGTCACCGAAGTGATTAAATTGCCTTGGAGGGCAGTTAAAAATGACGTGATTACCCCTTTCCCGTTCTGAGACGTCTGCAAGTTGCAGGGTGGGTGAACCTCGGGACGTGCGAGCGGTTCAGCGTTGATTTTATTTAGAGAGGCGTAGTAGCGCTGTTGTTTTTAGGGACATTGTTACTCACCGCTGAGAACCGTAGCAACACAACCACCGCACGCTACGATGGCTGGCGCCAAAACTGTGGCACCACACGACCTCCCACGTGGCCTTGTGGGCGCCTCAGTGCATCTTCAGGTCGGAAGACGTCAAGTTGTTTTATTATGACGTACGTGTACGTCATCGGAACGCGAAAGGGTTAATGATCTATAATTTGACATTGATACAAACACACTTTTGAAAACCGCTGTAAAACAAACCACGCGTGTCCTTGACTAGATTCGAAAGGTTTGCTAGAGGCGTGAAGTCATATTGTTTACATCACACGATTGAAACAATTCACCGCTCCCCCCACCGAGCGATTGAATTAATCGTGATGATGCAATCGCACCCGCGTTGGCCACAGAGGTCACTGGAACGCTTACATATAAATAAGAGACAAAGTTCCCCCGGGTAGCCTTTGACAGACTGCTGAGGCAAGTGCTGTTGGCGAGCAGCACCTGTGAAGGCCGACACGGAACACGAGGTGGTGAGTGGCCAGCACCACGCCCGGCCGCCTTTTTCTCTCTCGTGGCGATGTTTACACACCGCACCAGGTACTCATTTGAGGCTGAGTCGACCTAGGGGAGGGCCAGGACCGGTTGAAATATTCGTCACTGGTGGTGACCGCGAGCTGAAACAGTGTACATGGTGGTGGTGGGAGTGATGGTGATGATGATGCGGGGAGCGGTAGTGTAGCGTTTAGCGCGCAGTACTGCAAGCCCCGCCACCCCAGTTCAATTCCCGCTCATGGCCAACATCCGTGACGAATATCTGAACCGGTCCCGGAGCTCTCCTAGGTTGACTCGGCCTCAAATGAGTGCGATGTGCAAGCAACGCCACTGGGGGAGATAAAGGTGGCCGGGCATGGTGATGTCCACACCACTGTTGTCGTGTGTTGTTCCGGCCTTCATAGGTGCTACTCGCTAACAGCACTTGCCCCAACAGTCTGTTAAGGCTATACGGGGAGGGGGAGGTCTTGTGTATTTTGGTGGCGGTGTGCAAAAACGTGTGAATAGCGCTTAGGGTTTGTACCAGACGTCCTTAAGGAGGGCACTTGAATATCGCTTCCGTATCCTTAAGATAAAGTGTCTTCGGGTAAGGACACGCACACGTCTGCGATGGCAGTTCACGTGGGGCGCGCGCGCGCGTGACGTTGGCGTCAAATTTCGAGTGAGAAAATGAAGCCCCGAGAGATGAGATGTATTTTATTTATTATTGAACCAAAACTGTCGACTCTGCGGATACTGGGTATGCTGCAGTGCTGCATTTGTCGAACGAGTACGATGTCGTCCATACTGGATGTCCTGGCCAAAATTCCACTTGAGATCATTATGGGGAGAAAAAATCTCTGCTCTGGCCAAACTCGGCCTAGACGGCTAATCCTCAAGAATAAGTGGGCTCCTATATCTGAAAGCATAAACATCGATTATAAGAGGGGGCGCAAGCCACATTGGTAGGGTGGTAGCATTGCTCTCTCAGAGAGGGGTAAAATATCAAAGTGCCCTAGCTCTTAGCAGGCTGCGCGTTTAATGCAGGCTAATGTCACGTTGACTTTCATCTCGTTCAAAGTCAAGCCCCAGTGATTTCCTGCTTCAAATAAGCATTGACGCAGCGTTCGTCTATTTCTTGTCTGCAGCGCTGAGCCGGGCGGTGGGAATTCCATTGTAATGTGGCAGGGGCAAGTCTGTCCACGGGAACAACTTCCCTTCAAAAGTGGTACTTATTTTAGCAACTCCAGAGGAATGATGGGCTGAGTCAATGCCCAAGCAGGATTTGAACTGGAAACCTTGCGATTGCGAGCCGCTCGCTGCCCCCTGCCGAGTCATCATTTGAGACCAAATTCCAAATCGATCAGAATATTTATTTGTATTTGAGGAGGAATCCGATGAGCTATGAAGCTCTTTTTCGCAGATGTCCCATAGGGGCGGCTCAGAACGTTACATCAACAAACGGTTTCAAAAACGCAATGGGAGTGCATAGTATAAGAAACGTAAGCAAATCACATGGAAAAAATATGTTTATCTTACAAGGTATGACCCACTGAGTTGTTAGCTTATTTTTTTAGAAGCGAACTGGCCACAAATGACAGCTCAACGAAGTGGCTTATCACGTGGAAATGTATAGCAGCCAAACAATCTAAACGCATGTTTCTAATTCTTAGGTTTTTTCGGTAGAGTCACGTAGGTAAAAAAATTAAATAAAAATTAAAATAATTTTACTTTCATTAATTTTAATTTTTTACCTACGTGACTTTACCGAGAAAACCTAAGAATATGAATCCTTGCAGTCACAAAAGCTTCAAATCTAGCATGTTTCTAAGTGCGCGCGCCTCCAGTTAGCTGGGTAATATGTGAACAAGCCTATCACCTGCCAGTTAAAACGTGCTACATCTTGTTGTTGTGCTGAATATGCCATTTG